CTTCACCAATTGAGACATCTTAAAGACTTCACCAGTTGAGACATCTTAAAGACTTCACCAGTTGAGACATCTTAAAGACTTCACCAGTTGAGACATCTTAAAGACTTCACCAGTTGAGGCATCTTAAAGACTTCACCAGTTGAGGCATCTTAAAGACTTCACCAGTTGAGACATCTTCAAGACTTCACCAGTTGAGACATCTTAAAGACTTCACCAGTTGAGGCATATTAAAGACTTCACCAGTTGAGGCATCTTAAGGACTTCACCAGTTGAGACATCTTAAAGACTTCACTAGTTGAGACATCTTAAAGACTTCACTAGAGACATCTTAAAGACTTCACTAGTTGAGACATCTTAAAGACTTCACCAGTTGAGGCATCTTAAAGACTTCACCAGTTGAGACATCTTAAAGACTTCACCAGTTGAGACATCTTAAAGACTTCACCAGTTGAGACATCTTAAAGACTTCACCAGTTGAGACATCTTAAAGACTTCACCAGTTGAGGCATCTTAAAGACTTCACCAGTTGAGACATCTTAAAGACTTCACCAGTTGAGACATCTTAAAGACTTCACCAGTTGAGACATCTTAAAGACTTCACCAGTTGAGACATCTTAAAGACTTCACCAGTTGAGACATCTTAAAGACTTCACCAGTTGAGACATCTTAAAGACTTCACCAGTTGAGACATCTTAAAGACTTCACCAGTTGAGACATCTTAAAGACTTCACCAGTTGAGACATCTTAATGACTTCACCAGTTGAGACATCTTAAAGACTTCACCAGTTGAGACATCTTAAAGACTTCACCAGTTGAGACATCTTAAAGACTTCACCAATTGAGACATCTTAAAGACTTCACCAGTTGAGACATCTTAAAGACTTCACCAGTTGAGACATCTTAAAGACTTCACCAGTTGAGACATCTTAAAGACTTCACCAGTTGAGGCATCTTAAAGACTTCACCAGTTGAGGCATCTTAAAGACTTCACCAGTTGAGACATCTTCAAGACTTCACCAGTTGAGACATCTTAAAGACTTCACCAGTTGAGGCATATTAAAGACTTCACCAGTTGAGGCATCTTAAGGACTTCACCAGTTGAGACATCTTAAAGACTTCACCAGTTGAGACATCTTAAAGACTTCACCAGTTGAGACATCTTAAAGACTTCACCAGTTGAGACATCTTAAAGACTTCACCAGTTGAGACATCTTAAAGATTTCACCAGTTGAGACATCTTAAAGACTTCACCAGTTGAGGCATCTTAAAGACTTCACCAGTTGAGACATCTTAAAGACTTCACCAGTTGAGACATCTTAAAGACTTCACCAGTTGAGACATCTTAAAGACTTCACCAGTTGAGACATCTTAAAGACTTCACCAGTTGAGACATCTTAAAGACTTCACCAGTTGAGACATCTTAAAGACTTCACCAGTTGAGACATCTTAAAGACTTCACCAGTTGAGACATTTTAATGACTTCACCAGTTGAGACATCTTAATGACTTCACCAGTTGAGACATCTTAAAGACTTCACCAGTTGAGACATCTTAATGACTTCACCAGTTGAGACATCTTAAAGACTTCACCAGTTGAGACATCTTAAAGACTTCACCAGTTGAGAAATCTTAAAGACTTCACCAGTTGAGACATCTTAAAGACTTCACCAGTTGAGGCATCTTAAAGACTTCACCAGTTGAGGCATCTTAAAGACTTCACCAGTTGAGACATCTTAAAGACTTCACCAGTTGAGACATCTTAAAGACTTCACCAGTTGAGACATCTTAATGACTTCACCAGTTGAGACATCTTAAAGACTTCACCAGTTGAGACATCTTAATGACTTCACCAGTTGAGACATCTTAAAGACTTCACCAGTTGAGACATCTTAAAGACTTCACCAGTTGAGACATCTTAAAGACTTCACCAGTTGAGACATCTTAAAGACTTCACCAGTTGAGACATCTTAAAGACTTCACCAGTTGAGACATCTTAAAGACTTCACCAGTTGAGACATCTTAAAGACTTCACCAGTTGAGACATCTTAAAGACTTCACCAGTTGAGACATCTTAAAGACTTCACCAGTTGAGACATCTTAAAGACTTCACCAGTTGAGACATCTTAAAGACTTCACCAGTTGAGACATCTTAAAGACTTCACCAGTTGAGACATCTTAAAGACTTCACCAGTTGAGACATCTTAATGACTTCACCAGTTGAGACATCTTAAAGACTTCACCAGTTGAGACATCTTAAAGACTTCACCAGTTGAGACATCTTAAAGACTTCACCAGTTGAGACATCTTAAAGACTTCACCAGTTGAGACATCTTAAAGACTTCACCAGTTGAGACATCTTAATGACTTCACCAGTTGAGACATCTTAAAGACTTCACCAGTTGAGACATCTTAAAGACTTCACCAGTTGAGACATCTTAAAGACTTCACCAATTGAGACATCTTAAAGACTTCACCAGTTGAGACATCTTAAAGACTTCACCAGTTGAGACATCTTAAAGACTTCACCAGTTGAGACATCTTAAAGACTTCACCAGTTGAGGCATCTTAAAGACTTCACCAGTTGAGGCATCTTAAAGACTTCACCAGTTGAGACATCTTCAAGACTTCACCAGTTGAGACATCTTAAAGACTTCACCAGTTGAGGCATATTAAAGACTTCACCAGTTGAGGCATCTTAAGGACTTCACCAGTTGAGACATCTTAAAGACTTCACTAGTTGAGACATCTTAAAGACTTCACTAGAGACATCTTAAAGACTTCACTAGTTGAGACATCTTAAAGACTTCACCAGTTGAGGCATCTTAAAGACTTCACCAGTTGAGACATCTTAAAGACTTCACCAGTTGAGACATCTTAAAGACTTCACCAGTTGAGACATCTTAAAGACTTCACCAGTTGAGACATCTTAAAGACTTCACCAGTTGAGGCATCTTAAAGACTTCACCAGTTGAGACATCTTAAAGACTTCACCAGTTGAGACATCTTAAAGACTTCACCAGTTGAGACATCTTAAAGACTTCACCAGTTGAGACATCTTAAAGACTTCACCAGTTGAGACATCTTAAAGACTTCACCAGTTGAGACATCTTAAAGACTTCACCAGTTGAGACATCTTAAAGACTTCACCAGTTGAGACATCTTAAAGACTTCACCAGTTGAGACATCTTAATGACTTCACCAGTTGAGACATCTTAAAGACTTCACCAGTTGAGACATCTTAAAGACTTCACCAGTTGAGACATCTTAAAGACTTCACCAATTGAGACATCTTAAAGACTTCACCAGTTGAGACATCTTAAAGACTTCACCAGTTGAGACATCTTAAAGACTTCACCAGTTGAGACATCTTAAAGACTTCACCAGTTGAGGCATCTTAAAGACTTCACCAGTTGAGGCATCTTAAAGACTTCACCAGTTGAGACATCTTCAAGACTTCACCAGTTGAGACATCTTAAAGACTTCACCAGTTGAGGCATATTAAAGACTTCACCAGTTGAGGCATCTTAAGGACTTCACCAGTTGAGACATCTTAAAGACTTCACCAGTTGAGACATCTTAAAGACTTCACCAGTTGAGACATCTTAAAGACTTCACCAGTTGAGACATCTTAAAGACTTCACCAGTTGAGACATCTTAAAGATTTCACCAGTTGAGACATCTTAAAGACTTCACCAGTTGAGGCATCTTAAAGACTTCACCAGTTGAGACATCTTAAAGACTTCACCAGTTGAGACATCTTAAAGACTTCACCAGTTGAGACATCTTAAAGACTTCACCAGTTGAGACATCTTAAAGACTTCACCAGTTGAGACATCTTAAAGACTTCACCAGTTGAGACATCTTAAAGACTTCACCAGTTGAGACATCTTAAAGACTTCACCAGTTGAGACATTTTAATGACTTCACCAGTTGAGACATCTTAATGACTTCACCAGTTGAGACATCTTAAAGACTTCACCAGTTGAGACATCTTAATGACTTCACCAGTTGAGACATCTTAAAGACTTCACCAGTTGAGACATCTTAAAGACTTCACCAGTTGAGAAATCTTAAAGACTTCACCAGTTGAGACATCTTAAAGACTTCACCAGTTGAGGCATCTTAAAGACTTCACCAGTTGAGGCATCTTAAAGACTTCACCAGTTGAGACATCTTAAAGACTTCACCAGTTGAGACATCTTAAAGACTTCACCAGTTGAGACATCTTAATGACTTCACCAGTTGAGACATCTTAAAGACTTCACCAGTTGAGACATCTTAATGACTTCACCAGTTGAGACATCTTAAAGACTTCACCAGTTGAGACATCTTAAAGACTTCACCAGTTGAGACATCTTAAAGACTTCACCAGTTGAGACATCTTAAAGACTTCACCAGTTGAGACATCTTAAAGACTTCACCAGTTGAGACATCTTAAAGACTTCACCAGTTGAGACATCTTAAAGACTTCACCAGTTGAGACATCTTAAAGACTTCACCAGTTGAGACATCTTAATGACTTCACCAGTTGAGACATCTTAAAGACTTCACCAGTTGAGACATCTTAAAGACTTCACCAGTTGAGACATCTTAAAGACTTCACCAGTTGAGACATCTTAAAGACTTCACCAGTTGAGGCATCTTAAAGACTTCACCAGTTGAGGCATCTTAAAGACTTCACCAGTTGAGACATCTTAAAGACTTCACCAGTTGAGACATCTTAAAGACTTCACCAGTTGAGACATCTTAATGACTTCACCAGTTGAGACATCTTAAAGACTTCACCAGTTGAGACATCTTAATGACTTCACCAGTTGAGACATCTTAAAGACTTCACCAGTTGAGACATCTTAAAGACTTCACCAGTTGAGACATCTTAAAGACTTCACCACACAAAGATTAAAACGACTAGGGCTTGATGGATCAGGGAATGGGTGGAGGAAGCAGAGTGGGTAATGGGAGTGGTTAGAGAGTGTGTGTTTTATTTTTTTCTGAGGTGCCTCAAGAAAAGAGTAGGGGTCGATGGATTCGGGAATGGGTAGGGAAAGCGGAGTGGGCATGAACGACAATTACCTTCTCGTTCTCGTCTATCCGGCTTCTCTGCGTGTTCACTTCAGCTTCTAGCTGCACATTGCCAACAATAACATTCCCCAGCTTCTCTTTCGATTGATCCACTTCTGCTGCTGCAATCTGCTCTTCCTGCTGCTCTTGCTGCTGTTCATGCAACTTCTTGTGTCTCTGGCTGCTGCTATGAGTAACTGTAACTCTATCTTCTATTCCTTTCAGGTCTTCCACTTGCTTCTGCTGCTCCTGCATCCTCGTTACAACATCCTCTACTAACACTAACCGGAACTTGTTTCCAATACTTCCCGCAACTGCCGCAGCTGCAGCCGCCGCTGCAGCGGCAATGACTGCTTCTCCCCCTCCTCCGCCTCCTCCCCGTAGGTCCTCAGATCCTTCTTCAAACCATTTTGGTGGAAGGGCATTGCTCGCCTTGTTGCAAACGCACGTGATGCTCTGTGGGGGCACGAGGGAGGAACAGAAGAGAGCATGGATGAGACAGACAAGCCACTTCAGAAGTCGTTTTGAAAGGTATGGCTTGCCTTGCTTGTTGCACACGCACGTTATGCTCTGTGGAGAAAACAGGAAGGACAGAAGGGAGCATGAATGAGACTTATGAGCCACCTGAGAAATCACCTGCAGAACCATGGGCTCACCTTTTGCATCTCACGCAGCTGTCGCAACTGTTCGCCCGCCTTCGTCAGGCGTATACTGAGTCAACTCAACTAAACTATTATGAAATCACCTGGAGCATGTCATGTACATTATCAACTGTTCGCCTAGCTTCAGTTGACACGACAACAGAAAGAAGGTGCCATTCTTTCTGAACCATCTCAAACGGCCATCCAAGCTCACCTTCAGTATGCCATGCAGCTGCTCGTCCACCTTCGCTTGCCCAGGTGCATATTGAGTCGACTCAAACTAAACTATCACGGGCTCACCTTCAGTATGCCATGCAGCTGCTGCAGCTGCTCGTCCACCTTCGCCTGCCACGGCAACAGAAAAGCACCCACAAATACACCATTTAAATATTTTCATTTCAATTTGAAGGATCCTTAAAACGAATCATGCATCCAATGCATCAGCTCACTCACCCTGGTGTAGGAGGGGGGGGTGGAGGCCCGCATGTGAACACTACCACTTGGATATAAGACAAGGGAGTAAGGACATAAAGCACATTCGGAGAGGAAGGAGGAGGAAGAAGGGGGAGTAGGCACAAGCATGGCTCGCATAAATTGCTCACAACCATTGCTCACAACCATTGCTCACAACCATTGCTCACAACCATTGCTCACAACCATTGCTCACAACCATTGCTCACAACCATTGCTCACAACCATTGCTCACAACCATTGCTCACAACCATTGCTCACAACCATTGCTCACAACCATTGCTCACAACCATTGCTCACAACCATTGCTCACAACCATTGCTCACAACCATTGCTCACAACCATTGCTCACAACCATTGCTCACAACCATTGCTCACAACCATTGCTCACAACCATTGCTCACAACCATTGCTCACAACCATTGCTCACAACCATTGCTCACAACCATTGCTCACAACCATTGCTCACAACCATTGCTCACAACCATTGCTCACAACCATTGCTCACAACCATTGCTCACAACCATTGCTCACAACCATTGCTCACAACCATTGCTCACATCCATTGCTCACAACCATTGCTCACAACCATTGCTCACAACCATTGCTCACAACCATTGCTCACAACCATTGCTCACAACCATTGCTCACAACCATTGCTCACATCCATTGCTCACATCCATTGCTCACAACCATAACTCACAAGCACTTCGCCAACCGCCTTCTCCTGCTCCAAAATTGCACGCTTCTCCGCATCTGAGAGCCAGGCTACTGTCTTCCCACCATCACAATCTCTTCTCCCGCTGCTCTGACCCTCCGCACCAACACTACAATCCCTTGCAACCTCGAGATTTATTCTCCCATTGCAAGCGAAGTTCGCCAAGCCATCTTGGCTCTGCGAAGTTACCAATTCCCCAGGTCCCTCTGGCCTTTCAGGTTTCTCAAGCTTTGAACAATCTTCTTCCGAGCTTCCGGAAGCTTTCAGAAAAGTGGCAGTTTGAAGGGCCTTCATGGCTTGCTGGTGAGAGAGCATCGCTTGATCCACGAGGCGACCGATGGCTCTCACGCGAACTCGAGCCCCGTGCAGTGAGTGCCTGAAGCGAAACGGCAACAATGGAGAGCAGGAGAAAAATACTACGATTAGACGGTAAAAATAAGGATTTGGATTGAAAACAACGAGATAAGGATGATTTTGTAACGAGCTTTTCAGAGTCAGTCAAAGCGTAGGAATAATAACAAGAGGATCTGAGTCATACCGTGACGACATATTTGGCTGATTCGTGATATCCCGGGCGTTTCAACAGATGCTGACTTCTGAGGCGGCAAAAAAACTGGCTCATTCGTGGCAATATCCTGGGCGTCTCAACAGCAACCCTATCACTGGGTGTCTCAACAGACGCTGACTGGGTGTCTCAGCGTCACAGCAGCAACCCTATCACTGGGTGTCTCAACAGACGCTGACTGGGTGTCTCAGCGTCACAGCAGCAACCCTATCACTGGGTGTCTCAACAGACGCTGACTGGGTGTCTCAGCGTCACAGCAGCAACCCTATCACTGGATGTCTCAACAGACGCTGACTGGGTGTCTCAGCGTCACAGCAGCAACCCTATCACTGGGTGTCTCAACAGACGCTGACTGGGTGTCTCAGCGTCACAGCAGCAACCCTATCACTGGGTGTCTCAACAGACGCTGACTGGGTGTCTCAGCGTCACAGCAGCAACCCTATCACTGGATGTCTCAACAGATGCTAACTGCTATCCAGTTCTGTCACTGAGTAAGTATATGATGAGAATCTGTTACCGTAAGACACAGCTGAATGGAAACCGATAGAAGTTGGGAGCACTATTACACAAACGCTTCTTGCTGACTCCCGTAAAGTCACTGCACGATGACATGTCTTAGTTAGACGAATCGCTGGTAGGAGAATCCGCGTAACGCTGACTAACAGCCGTCATATGCAAGGCAAACGCAGCCGTGACGAAACCTTCATAGTAGACTGAATAAACGGTACAGTTAATCAGGAATTTACCGAGGTCAAGAAATCGCCCACAGCAAATGGACTCCTGTGTTCCTGCCTGGAGCAACAGCGGAGCGAGCGAGAAACGAGAAGCGCTGGGAATGACAGACAGCAAGCAACAAGTGTGATACCGCTGAGGGAAGGAGACCTTGGCGCTGAGGGGACAAGTCTCGGTCCCAAGGGAGGAAGACTCGGTGACGAGGGAAGAAGACCCAACAGCGCAGCGCCTGCGGGAGGAAGACTCCACTGACCGGAGTGGAAATGCTCTTTTGGTCAAAATGAATGAGTTGAAATGGAAATCGGGATGGTTCATGGGACAATTTCTAGGGAGTGCAAAGCGGCGGCGGACTTGCAGAAATGAGTTGACCTTCACCTCGTTCGCGCTTGTGGCAGCTCTGCTACTCTCGATAAGGCTTACATTTTCTCCTATATCATTGTGTCATGAAACAACTTACTGCTAATAGCGAGATTCCAAGTTCATGGCACACCGAACGTGCTGCCGAGCCATCTTCTCTTGGAATAAGGGGGTGTTACATGTGCGCAAGAACTACACTGGGTCGCGCTGGGCCGCTGCGGCCCAAGGGCATCCGCGTGGACCAGCGCGGACCAGCATGGACCAACTGTTTGGACCAGCAAACGGCCCAGGTGGTGACTCTGGTTACACCACCCACGGACCATCATGTACAGTGGTCGGCGCACGTACAGGGTGTGGGAGACCACTTCCAACAGTCTACACCAATTCGCGGCCCAGGCACTCGCGAAATCTTCATGTCGCCCTTTTTCGCTACAACAACCTTCCAAATTCACATGCGAAATGTATTTCAGGTGTGACAGGGTGCGACAAGGTTTTCGTTCACCTTGCATTTGCGAAATGTTAAGCACTGTGCTGTTTGGGTCCGCTGCAAATGGTCCCCGGTACCACGCGGGTACCAGGCCCGGACCACTTTTGCAAGTGGTCCCGGTAAACTGGAACTCTCTCGTTTTCGCTGGTCCATATCCGTGTAAATGGACCAGCACCCAATGTAACACCCCCTAACGCTGGTACACCAGCTCAGGTTTGGGCAGTTCCATCACAGCTCAAGTCAAAGAGGTCCACACTGTCAGAATAACGAACGAGAATGAATGAACTATGAATGAGTTGGGTACAAGTAATAACCCTAATTGGGTTGTACCCCTTATGGGCTACTCCACTATAGCCTACACAAAGTAAGCATTATAACATTCTGACACACCCCCATAGGCAAAATGGGGGAGAACAAGTGGTCACAAGACCAGTCGAGAAAAGCAAAGCAAGCTCGGGGTGCATCACGAAGTCACCACACATTCCGAGCACAAGCAAATGGCTACAAGGCCAGTTCACATGCAGTGTTATATATAAAAGAGAACAAACATTACAGCGATCATACAATAGCAAGAGTAAGCATGCAGGTATGTATATACAGATCACAATACAAGCAAAGTCACGCAGTGAGCAAGTGAGGCAAAGTAGGCACAAGGCCTAAAACAGTACAGAAACGCTTATGATCACCAGACTGAAGTGCCTTGGTGAATATATCAGCAGTGTTGGCCCTAGTGGCCACGTAAGCAAGACGAAGCTGACCACGTTGCTGCAACTCTCAAGCAAGGAAGTAACGCAGAGCGATGTGCTTCGTTCTGTGCTCCAGTCTGTGCTCATGACACAAGGCAATCATGGCCTTGTTGTCTACGTACAGAACTGGAGAAGAACAAGGCCGCTCTCCCAAGTCGGTCAGCAGGTAGGTGAGCCAGTGTAACTCCTGTGCAGCCATGGCCCCTGCGTAGATCTCAGCCTCACAACTCGAACTGAGAACAGAAGAAAGGCGGGTAGACCACCAAGAAACAGAGCCGGAGCCAGGGCAAAAAATGTAACCCTGTGACGACCGCTGCGTAGCCAAGTTGTCAACCCAAGACGCGTCTGCGTGTCCAGTGAGGACAACTGGACCCCGTCCTCCAAGCACGCGCCCCATGCCCGACGTACTGCACAAGTAGCACAACACCCTCTTAGCGGCCTCCCAGTGCTCTGGTCGGTGTCTCCCGGGCGCAATGTAGTGTGCCAGGATGCTAAGAAGGTAGGCAAGGTCAGGTCGAGTGCAGGTCATCAGGTACATGAGGCAGCCCACAAGCTCTGGATACAGGCCACTCGGCTCAACGGACTCGTCCGAAGGTGGAGCTGAGAGCGAGTGTCCGGTAAGCAGACGAGTGGACTGTGGCGAGGAGTACCGGAAGCCGAAGCGCTGAAGGACCTTGTGCACCATGTATGATTGAGTCAGTGTGATGGTGCGCCGTGCTCTGTCCCGGGTGATCTGCAAGCCAAGATAGCTGCGCAGCTCACCCAGGTCAGTGCAGGTGTGTCTCTTCTGCAGCTCCGACTTCACAAGGGCTAGTGCCTCTGTGTCAGCAGTGGCAAAGACCAAGTCGTCGACGTACATGAGGACGTAGAACGGTGGCAGCGAATTGTCGGTGCGCAGAAACAGCGACGGGTCAGCAGTCGAAGGAGCAAACTCAAGAGCCGCAAGCGTCTTCCTCAGTGTGTCGTGCCACTCGCGAGGCGCCTGGCGGAGACCGTAGATTGGCCGCCGGAGGCTCCACTGGGTACCTGCAGGAAACGACCCAGTGAAGCCAGGTGGGCGGCGCAGCCAGATCTCCTCGTGCAGGCTGCCGTGTCAGAAAGCTGTGATGAAGTCAAGAGAGTGAAGCTCGTAGTCACGCTGAGCGACGACGTGAAGCAGCACCCAAAGAGTGGTCATCTTTGGGGTAGGGGAGAAGGTATGTAAGCAGTCAACTCCCTGTCGCTGACTGAAGCCTCGTGCAACGTAACGAGCCTTGAAGACAGGCGGAGAACCCAGCGGTCGCTTCACCCTGAAAATCCACATGCCATTAACTATGTTCGCCCCAGGAGGGGGAACTGCGTTGAGGTAGGTGCCTGTGGACTTCCAGGATGCCATCTCTGCGTCCATGGCTGTCTGCCACTGAGAGGAGTAGGGACCCGTAATCGCCTCTGCGTAAGAGTGCGGGGTCGGAATGTCTGGTGCATCCAGGTCTCTCTCAGGTGCAATCAGCATGGACACGAGATGAG